CAAATACTAGATGAGACGGGGCACCTGGTGCTCTTCTGTGCTACTGGTAGGGGTGCAGTGGAGTGGCTAGTCTGGACAGTAGCTGACACCATATGACCCAACACACGCATTCCTGGCTACTTACCAAGGAGAAATGAAAGCATGCAGATCTCTACAGCAGCTCTTTACCTGATTGCAAAACACTGGAAATGCCCAGGTGTCCACAAACAAGTGTGTAGTCCGCCTGCCATGAAGCACAGTGTGGCTGAACGTCAGAGTCCCCACACTCAGAGAAGTCATGAGATACAGGACTGCACACTGTGTGATTCCACACATGTGACATTTCTGGACACGGACATGCTGGATGGCAAAATGAGCATTGGGCTGAGAGGACTGCTGAGAAGGGAAACGGGGCTTCTGGGATGTGGGTTGACTATAGCAGCAGCTCATGGAGATGTGACCTCAAAAGAGTGAGTTTTACCATGTACATACTATACCTCCACAAACCTGACTTTAAAAAAATAAAATATTCACAGAAAAAAAAAACAAAAACAAGTGCAAAACTATCAGACTACTTTTTCAGAGGTGTTATTTTTAGGTAGAAGCCTTTGAACTCCATCCCAGGAACATTGTACCCATGTCCTCTTAGAACTGCATCTTGCACTGGGTGTCAGGAGACAGCCCTGCAAGACTTGTATGCTCTGTACCATTCAGTGGTTTTGAAGGTTAACTACCTGAAGTCATATCTGAGGCGTCCCAGAAGCGTTACTCTAAGGAAAGTAGTTAAATGTGGACAGTGATGGCAGAAATAGTTACAAATTAAACCAGTTTATAGAACATGAGAATGTTCAGAGCATAAAGAAGCTTGTCAGCTCAATGACTTAAGAGACATGGGCCATTAAAAAAAAAGGTCTGGAGTTTGGGAAAAAGAAAGGAATGGGGATCTGTGGGTTGGGGTTATGAGCTCAGAGTGAGAGATGGAATTCTGTAAAGGAATAGTGTTGGGAGGAATTCTAGGCAAGTCAAGAACGATGTTAGAATGTGCTTGTTTAGGATAATTATCATGTTAATAATATTGTTCATATTGTTTTTACTAATATGCTCATCCTTAGAAAACAGAAGATATTTTAAGGGTACTAAATAAATACTTAACTAAAATTTTGCAACTGAGACCTTGGTCTTCCAGAGCCTTTATATGAACCTTTATAGACAACACCTCAGGTCCTGTTTGTTGCCCCAGTATGGAGGGCAGCCCACTTGGTTACAGTGATGACAGATGGAAACTTGACTGGAGCAGGTCTGGAAGGCAGAGGAGGCAGGCCTGTGTGTTTGTGGTCAGGACAAAGGACCAGTGGTGCTAGCCACACCTGTGGGGATGACTGAAAAAAAAAAAAAAAAAAAAAAAAGCAGACAATAACAAGTGTTGGTGAGAGTATGGAGAAACTGGAACCCTTGTATGCTGCTGGTGGGAATGTAAAGTGGTACAGCTGCTTTGGAAAATAGTATGGTAGTTCCTCAAAAAGTTAACTGTAGAATTATCATATGACCCAGCACTTCTGGGTAAATATGCAGAAGAATTGAAAACAGGGACTCAAACAGATGTTTGTACATCAGTGTTCATAGCAGCATTATTCACAACAGCCAAAAAGTGGGGGCACCTGAAATGTCTGTCAGTTGATGAATAGATAAACAAAATGTAGTTTATCCATACAGTGGAATATTATTCAGCCTTAAAAAGGAATGCAGTTCTGATTCGTGCTACAACATAGATGAACATTGAGGAGGACATTATGCCAAGTGAAATAAGCCAGATGAAAACAAACAGATAACTGTATTATTCCATTTGTGTGAAATGTCCAGAACAGGCAAATCTATAGAGGCAGAATCATTAGTAGTTGCCAGGGGCTTGGTGGGGTTGAGGGAACAATTTAGAGGAAAGATTAGAGCAAATGGGGAGTGACTGGTAATTGGCACAGGGCTTCTTTGTGAGGTAATAAAAGTGTTTTGAAACTAGATAAAGGTGATGGTTGTGCACCATTGTGGATATTCTAAATGCCATTGAGTTCACTTTTGAATGGTAAGTTTTGTGTTAAGTGGATTTTGCCTTAATTAAAAATTGTTCAATATAAAGTCGGCTCACATCTCCTCCTAAAATACTTCACTGATGCACATGCATGACGTCTGTGAGTGAGGATGGCCCCCTTGGAGAGCTGCACTGCCCAGCACAGTAGCCACTTGCCACGTGTGACAGCTGAGTAAACACTTGACAGGTGGCTCACGTGACTGAAGAACTGAATTATTTTATTTTAGTTAACTTAAATTTAAAACCTACTTGATTTAGTTCTTGGAAAACCTTGAATATTTTTGAAACAACTTGGGTATGTGAATGTACTCTTTCAATGTAAATATTATGAAATCTAAACACAGATCAAGTATTTCTGATGAAAAAGTGCAGTGCTCATCTTCATTTTTGTTGGGTTCAAGTGTACTTCTGTGTCCAGAGTACACTTGTGGACACAGAAGATTCGGGGATGTTCCCCTCCTTCCTGTTGGGCAGGTGGCTCATTGTCTTCAGGTCCATCTCCTACTGTGCCCAGGAGCCCTCCACTCTGGGTGTGTGTTTGGACCTGGCCGGTGAAACCATGTGTTGGGGTCTGTGGAGTGCAGAAAGGCCTGGGAGTACCAGCACCGTCCCCTGGGTGGTGTGTAGGCCAACCCCTTGCCCACATGGTGCTGGCAGTGGGCTGTCAGCCCCAGTGTAGCTCTGCTTTGCCTCTTCATGCTGGGCAATCTGGAAAAGGCCCTTACTTCCAAGGGTTTGTCCTTATTTTTAAATACAAAAAATGGTATGTGTGGTAAATGGTAATGGTATGTATTTTACAGGACTTGTGAACGCTAATAAAATAAGTTACATAGATCACAGTAATAACTACTGGTGAAGATAAAAAATTCGTAAAGGATCTCTTCTTTCCAGAGATTTACAGTTCTGTAAGTTCCTCTGAAGTCTTCCCTGGAATAGAGAAAACAACATAGTTCCCTCTTGGAAGGTTTTTCATTGCATCAGCTTGGTAAAGACGAGGTAGAGTTCTTAGTGTTGGGGTCTCTGTGGGTGAGTCAGGTCCCCGTCACACAAACTGTAAAGTCAGCTACAAACCAGCTGAGCAGAGTATCTGGAAATGGAAGATTCATCCCAAATTTAAATTTGGCACTGGCAGAGCAGCGTCATTTACTGGGTAGAGTTGGCGTGTAGGGGAGCCACCACCCACTCCCCCTGTTCACCACTCCCCCTATCTGCACTGGGAATGTCAGACAAGATTTCTGGGATGCTGGCTTCAGATCATGATTGCAGGTTTTTGTCTTGCTCTTCCCAGTTCTGGAAAATCTCCACTGTGTGCTCTTCCACACCTCATCAGTGTCCACCGTGTTCGTTAGTAGAGCACATTCTCCGACTTGATCTCTGGGCTCTGCAGGGTCTAGCGCTAAGTACCTTCTATGGTGTGGGTAGGTTTTGGCAGCAGGGGCTTGGAAGTGGGAAGGTAGAAGGTCCAGTGTTAGGACACTGCTCTCTCAAGCCCGTATATGTTGGTGAGTCTCCAGTGCTCCCTCTCAGGGGGACATGGTGTCCTGTGGACTCACTGTGGCCACTAGGGTGTCACAGTTACCCTGAGTGTGGCTTGGTAGGTTGTTTACCCACCCAGTCAGTAAGTGTCCTGGTGGCTGCACCTCCATGGATGAGAGCTGCTCTCACTTGCGGGCCCTTTGCTACGTTTTCTCCCTTTCTGTGAGCACCTTAGTGGTTTAATATCATCAGAGTCCCATCACACTTGGACATGTGAATGTACTCTTACAATTGTAAATATTATGAAATCTAAACACAGATAAAGTATTTCTGATGAAAAAGTGCAGTGCTCATCTAGGACAAAGTAGACAAACCCACTCTGTTGCTTCTTGGCCACTCTGGTAAGAATTTTGAGCCCAGCCACTGACCACAGCAGATGCAGCCAGTTTTCTTGTTTTCTGTGTCCCCATGACCATTGATAAGGGGGCATGGTGTGGCCAGGGCCCTCCTCTGTGTCCCTGGGACAGGCCAAGCAGCACGGGTCACCTAGGTACATACAGTACCCCTCACGTTTGCTCTGACACCGCAGTTCCAGTTGTCTTTTAAGTTTTTGTGGTAATGACATGAGTCTCACAGACCCCAGCACTGAGAGCTGGATCGTGAGTACTGGTTGCTGCTTCCTTTGACCAAAGGGTGTCTGCGCCATCCCCACAGAGGTGCCCGAGGAGGCCGGGACCACTTTTGGGGTTAGTTCTTGATGGTTGTTCCTCCTTCCCGAGAAGGAAGAACTTTAAGGAGTGGGGCTGGAGGACCCCCTCATGCAGCAAGCTTGGCCCCAGTGAGGAAGAAGTAGGGACAGGGCGTGGTGCCCTGTCATGGGGTGAGGACTCCCCAGGAGATTCTGTCATGCATTAGGCCGAGCCCTAAGTCTCACAGGTCCCAGCTTACCCCCAAGATAGCAGAATGCTGGGTGTTGCTCTTGGAAGCAAGAGAGATCACTGGAGAGGTAACTGGTTGATAAGAGCTAGGCGGAGCCTTCCATGGCAAGCATGGGGGCAGGCTGGGATGGCCCAGGACAGGTCCTGGTGTGGGGGGTGTCAGTGGTCTTGGAAAACAGCCTTTCTTGATGACAGTGGGCAAGGTGAGCACATGGAACAGACACCGTCCTGAGTATACAGGACCTGCTGAAGAAGGACAAAGGCATCTTCCAGAATGTCAGTCCCCTCAGGTATGCCCCTCCTAGCTCTTCCCTGGGATATGTTAGCACAGTCAGCAAAGGCATTCCCAGGCACAGAGTGTCCTGCCTTGGGTTCTGGCACCCCCTTTTGTCTGTCACCTCCCTTTGTGTAGTTGGTCCTGAGCTTATCCTGGACACCCATCCTTCAGTGGGCTCTGCTCTGTCCCCAACCCTGGACACCTGTCTCAGGTCTCTGACTCAGGTCTCTGTCCTGCTTGTCCCCAGGTGAACCTGAGCAAGGTGGGCGAGTATTGGTGGAACGCCATCCTGGAGGGAGAAGAGCCCATCGACATTGACAAGATCAACAAGGAGCGCTCCATGGCCACCGTGGATGAGGAGGAGCAGGCGGTGCTGGACAGGCTTACCTTCGACTACCACCAGAAGCTGCAGGGCAAGCCACAGAGCCATGAGCTGGTACGAGCACGGCAGTCCTGGAGAGCCCACCCTTTAGGCCCTTGTGCTGGTGACAAAGCTGATAGTGGCAGAGGTGTTGGTGATGACGATGGGGAAGAAGGATGTGTGGACTGGCTTCCTGTCGTGCCCTAGCAAGGAACCTGTCTTACCTGCTCTTGTCCCTGATCACTGCCTCACAGGTGCACTCTGGTCTTTCAGCTGTATTCTCATACCTGGGCTGAGAGCCCAGATAACAGGACCTCTAAGGGTGTCATGAGATATGCCTTGCCTGCACCAGAGCCTGGTAACGTCAAGTGTGTTGATGGCTTTTGTTTGTGCCTCATCTGCACATGTCTTCCCATGAAGAGTCGCTTGGTGGGACGTTTGGTAGAGGAGGGGAGGCAGCCAGGCTACAGAGCCAGTTTCTGGATGTTGGAGGCCAGCATGTGAAGACTCTGTGATGTCAGCAATGTGTTAGGGAGGAGGAAGAGAAAGGTTCCTCTCTGACCGGTGTAGTGCCCAATGTAGAGTTTGCTCATGGCCAAAGAGAATGATGAATTAGATGTATACATTCTTTCTTCCTATTTTAATAATCCCAAGAGTAACTATTTAGGGACAAAAGGGTTGCTTTCCTCAGATTATTTTTAACTTCCCGTGTCCCATATACCCAGCACGTGGGTTTGGGCCGCAGTACGGCAGGGCACACAAACCCAATGCAGCCTTGAGTCGGTGGGAAGGGGTCAGCTGCTGGGCACAGTCTCCTTGTTTTCATTCTGTAAACACGGACCACCTCCTCCCGCTGAAGACCACTGATTTATATTTTCTTCTCATTTTGTCTCTTGGAGGAACCTTACCTTGTGGTGTATCTGGATTGTCTTAGACGTGCCTTCCAGTACAGCATGTATTAATACATCGTAGGTGGTTCTGCAAGCCCTGTTGCTGTGTGTCGTCCATTCTTGCCTGTTTTCACAGACAAGTGCATCCTGCTCTTACGAGGTCAAAGAACCTGCGGAGAGGAGTGTCAGCATGTTCTCCTTACCTGGCCCTGCCACAGCAGGGGCATGTCCTGAGCACTTAGTACACACAGTTAAGGTGGGATTGACTGACTGCACAGTATCCCTGAAAATACAGTTTGTTTGTTTTTGGGTTTTTTCCCCCCGCCCCCACAATAGAGAGATTGAATTTCTGAGATTGTAACTCAGTAGCTTAAGCAGCAGGGATGGGGTTTGACCTCTTATCTGATTTCACACCTTTCTGTCCTTGCAGCCCTGTCCACCCTGGCCCTTGTCTCTGTGGAAGAGAATGTTCCTCTGGGTTTGGCCCCCTTTTCCACCCGGGGCATGGCAAGCTTAAAGGACATCTTTGCTTGGCCTATGTCTGTGCAGAGTTTGAAGCCTCAGGTAGTACTGCACTGCAGCACATGTACTGCAGCACATGCTCAGCTGAGCTCAGCTCAGGTGCTTAGACAGCCAGACCTGCCTGGTTATGGCTCATTCCAGTTATGCTGCATTTGCCTGTGGCCACCACATGAAAGGCCAGCCTTTGAACCTTTGCCCTGTGGGTGGGGCTTCTCATGGTAGTGTTTGGGGATGGGTTATGTGAGGGTCTGCCCACTCTGTGCCCATATTCAGCATTGGGTCCACAGAAGGGCTGAGATGTATTCACGAGTTGACCTTTGGGAGAAAGAGTCTGTTTTGACTGGAGAACATGAACCCAGATGCCCTTTGTGCAGTCTTACCACGTGCCCCTTAGAAATGTCTTTTTGTGCCACAGGATGGAAGGACTAAGGTCAGGTGGTTCCTCGCATCTTCCCCAGACGCTGACACTGAGTCTTTGTTACAGAGAGATGATAAAAATTATTGTAGTTTAAATGGTATTTGTGCATTTGTCAAAGCCTTGATGAAATTATTGTAGACTTCATCTTATTTATTTATTTATTTATTTTTTGAGACAGAGCCTCGCTCTGTCACCCAGGCTGGAATGCAGTGGCGTGATCTCAGCTCACTGAAACCTCCACCTCCCAGGTTCAAGTGATTCTCCTGCCTCAGCCTCCTGAGTAGCTGGGACTACAGGTGCACACCACCACGCCCAGCTAATTTTTGTATTTTTAGTAGAGACAGGATTTCCCCATGTTGGCCAGGCTGGTCTCGAATGCCTGACCTCAGGTAATCCACCTGCTTTAGCCTCCCGAATTGCTGGTATTATAGGCGTGAGCCACCACACCCGGCCATTTTTATGTAGACTTTAGCTGTTGAGGCATGAGAGAAGCTAGGATGCTCTGGCTGTTTTTTTCCTCTAAGCCCTCATGTTTCCTGTGATTGTATCTCTTACAGAACCTTACATTCAAAAACAAAATAACAGTAATACCTGCTCATCATTGGAGTTGCCAGTAGTGCCAAGGACATGCATAGAGGTGTCAGGGGCTCCACCAGCCTTTTCTTCTTCTTCTCTACATCCTTGCCCCTCCCCTTCCCTCCTTTCTTTCTGTTTCCCTTTTCTTTCCCTTATATCCTTCCCTCTCCTTGACCTTCGTCTCAGTCTCTTTCCCCCATCCTTTATGTTCTGTGCCAAAACCTTGTAACATTGCATAGTCTCACCCCGCTATTGGGGCATGTCGGTGAGGAAGACAGACACAGATCTGCCTTTGTGGTGCTAGGATTCCAGCCATTTTAATCTTAGCTTCTCCAAAGAGTATTTCAGTCCTGCTTTGCAGTCTCATTGATAGTCCTCCCCAGGAAGCAGCTGCTCTTGTCTCTCCATTTCTGGAGGCCTAAGGCCTCCTCATTTTGATGGCTTGTTGCCAAGCCCACTGCCTAGGACCAGGAACGGGGAGGTCTGTTCATTCCAGGTAAGCTGAGGCAACTTCCAGGCAGTTCTGGACCTCAGACCCCTACCTAGATCCTCATTGTCAGTCTGGGAAAGGCCAACCTCAAGGGGTGAAAGATGGCAGCAGTACACATTGTATGTAAGCACCATGCACATACATAATTACACACATGCAGCATCGCAGGGTGCAGCTGACATCCCCTTCATGCCCTACTGCCCTGCTCTGAGGGCAATTCAGTGGGGTCATCCTGTTGGTGTCCTCTTGGCAAGCTGTTTTTCTGGTCCCTAGGGCACTGCACAGCTCAGGTGTGGAACAGAAAGTCCCCATGCCCGCAAACAGCTTCTTGTGACCTAGCATTGGGGAGCCCATAGACTGGGCAGCGACCCAGTTAGGAAGGATTCAAAGAACCTTGAAGATGCTGTGGTCCAGTGGAAAGAGCTCTGTGTGTTAAATCGAAATCTGTTCTGCTGTAGACTTGCCATGAGGCACCATCCTGACCCTTGAGAGGATGTGTGTCCCTCCCCAGGGTAAAGTGCCCTGGGAGATCTTCAGCAACATGCAGGAGCCCAGGGCTGGTGGTGCAGGGATAGGTCCCAGAGTGACCCTCTCCCTGGGGTTGATCTGCTCCTCAACAGCCAGGGAGCCTCCAGCTCTCAGGCAACAGCTGTAGACAGTAATGAACTGACCTCTCAGGGCTATGGTCGTTCAGAGTGTGTGTCCAAGCACCTGCCTGGTGCTGATGCTAAAGTCTCAACTCCTTCCTGGGCTTGACAGTGTCTGGGGCAGGGTCTGCAGCATATGGAGGCTTGCAACACACAGAGATTTCATGATGTAAAATGTCCTTAGTGACTAGCCTTTTTTTAAAAAATCAAATGAGGAAACAGACATAGAAGGTAGGTACATGCCCTTGTGTGGCCTCATGTAGCAGGTTAGCCACATTTTATTCAGGCGTCCTGAGGGGTACCTCACAGGCAGAGGGACTATCGTGAGAGTTAGGGGGCCGGAGTTGCTTCGCTGGAATCACCAGGCTTCGCTACGGAGAGAGAATGGAAACAGGGCCAGGTTCTCCTGTCAGCCTCCATCTGCCGTTCACGTCGGCATAGTCACAGTTACCAGCGTGCTCTGGCATTGATGCCCATTTATGGTGTGAACTCAGAGTTTTCTAAATTTGCCAAGATTTCAAATTGTGCTTCTAATGCCACAGATGCTGTGTATTTTGAAGCAATTTTATTTTGAAATGATAATACTTTTATTGTTTTAAATTCTTTGGTGTCACTAACCTTTTTCCACAGTTATCAAATTTAAAACCCTTCATCTTTTCCCTAATTTAATTTCTTTCGAGCAGGATTCTCCCATCTAGAAAGAGAATGTGGAATGTACAGGTGCCATTGCTCTGTCTGTGCTGAGATGTGTCTGTGTCTAGGATCTCTTCAGCCTGGTAGGATTCACCCTAACGTTAGTAATTGTGACATCTCATAGGCAGATAGCTTTAGCATAGTCTCTGGTCATAAGAGTGAATTTGGTGACACACAGGAAGGCCTGCTCTCCACTTTTGCCTCAGGAAAGGTCTGAATGCTGATCTTGGCATCCTAGGCTCCCTTTATTTAAGATCAAGTCTACTAATCTGCCCTTTGCACTCTGGGAATCCTACATCGGGCCCTCATCCAGCAACCCGGTTCCCAGGGTGAGAGTGTGGTGGCTGCAGGGCTCTGCAGCTGTCATTTGCCCTACAGCTGGCTGGGATTCTGTTGAAAGGTTCAGAGGCTTCGTGCAGCCGCCTGCTGAAGTCATCCATTCTTATGTTTGGTTTAGACTATGCAGCCTCACACTTCCAGTGGGCAGAGGTGTGGGCCATGCTTTCAGGGCTGTGCAGAGGGGTCTTCATGTAGTCTTCTCTGCACCCACAGCCACTCCATGTGAGCTGCAGCACTTGTTCTCAAAATGGTCTTTCCAAAGTCTCTAATGTGAGTTGCCTGTAAGAAATTGATAGTAATGTCAATTCATCCCTAGTATATAGTATGTGTCTTTGATATGCTTGTTGTTGCATCACTTAGGTTTTAAAAAATGAAAAAGAAGCTGGGTATGGTGGACTGCACCCGTAGTTTTAAGTACTCAGGAGGCTGAGGTGGGAGGATCGCTTGAGCCCAGGAGTTTGAAGCTGCACTGAGCCATGACCACACACTGCACTCTAGCCTGGGAAGCAGAGTGAGACCCTATCTCTGAAACATAAAAACAGGAAAAAGAAAACCCTCTTGTTAGGAAGATTGTGTTTTATTTAAGGAGAAGCCCTGGTGCTGTGAATCCCACAGCCTCATTTTCTGGGCCTATGCTACTGGGTTTTCTGCAGCAGGGACTGTGGATCATATTGGTAGAATAACTACTGGCCCTGCACAGTCTCTTTTGTCTCTTGTGGTCAGAAGTTCAGAAGGAAGGAGAGATCATCCCCAGCCCTCAGTGTACTCATGGTGGCCAGGTGAGGAGGGCAGATGTGGAGTCCCTATGAGGAGAGAGGGCCTGCCAACTCAGGTACAGATGCTTCCCTCAGGGTCCAGTCTTCCTGATGTCTCCTGCCATGGCCACACACTCAGGCTTGCTTCTGATCCTTGGAGGCTAGATAGTTCCAGAATGGCCACATGTTGGCCAGGGCTTAGTCAACCAGCTCTGACTGCATCTGCAAGGATGCAGTGGGGAATTCCTGACTGGCGGGTCTACCACTGGACATTCTGAGGTCTTTTCCTCCGTGCCACATCCTCAGTCAACCGTGGATTGTCTGATGATATAGTTCTTGATGCTGATACCTGGGGTGCTAGGGTACCTCCTCTGCACACCTTAGTCATGACTCAGGTGGGGCTTGAGCACTTTCTCTACGCACCTTTTCTACAACCCCGGTGGGCTGGGACACTCCCTCTTCGTGCCTTAGTCAGTACCTGGTGGGACCATAGACGTTGCAGGCTGTTTGGAATTTGGACAGAGATCCTGGTGGAAAAGGGACAAGATGAACCATAAAGAGGAGCCAGTGCTTTGCTGGGGACAGAAGATGAAGGGTTAGAAATTCAGTCTGTGGAGCACAGTCTTGCAGAGAAATTGGCAGGCACCCAGTACCTCCCTTGGTTGAAGGCTGCTCCAGGGTAGTACGATTCTCTGGGAGCCGGTCTTGCCAGGCAAGTGCCTGAGCCCTGAGGAAGCAGGAAGGCTCTCTGCCTGCAGTCAGGGTCTGCTCTGGGAGACAGTACACAGTGCCTTTTGATCCCCTTTAATCTCTCTATTTTCTGTTTGTAGAAAGTCCATGAGATGCTGAAGAAGGGGTGGGATGCTGAAGGTTCTCCCTTCCGAGGCCAGCGATTCGACCCCGCCATGTTCAACATCTCCCCGGGGGCTGTGCAGTTTTAATGACCAGAAGGAAAGGAAACCCTCGCCGGTGCGGAGGCAGAGCCTTATCCTCGGCCGCCCTCCTCGGCTCCCTGCGTTCCAGGGACTTACTCGTCTTGTTTACCCCTAACCATCCTTTCTTTCAAGGGTGAACCAGGCCTTCCACCCTGACCTTGCATCTCCAGACTGTTGCAGAGAAGGTGCGGGGCCAGCTGCTGTGTGGTGGCCGCTGTGGCTGACGCTGAGTGAAGGTGTTTGAAATGCAGGAGAGGATATCCCAGCAAATTGGGATCACATGCTTTTGTCTCCACAGCAACCAGCCACTGCAGGCAGCATGTCTTTCCTCCCCTGCTCCCTGCTTGCTGTTGTTTTGACGCTATTCTGCTTGCATGTCTTCTGGTTGGGATGTGGAGTTGTTGCTGGGCTCTCAGGCGAAGCTGAAGTCATTGAAGTGTGTGAAGCTCTGTGCTTGCATGAGGGCGAGCAAGGAATGGCTGTGCCTGGGGCTGCTTTGGGAAACTCTTTGCCCCTTGACCTCTTTTGGGAGCATTCACGTGGTCTTCTTGCTCATCCCTTTATAAATGTGCTTTGCCTGCCTCAGCCTCATGGTCAGAGCAGTGGAAACTGGAGCCCTGTTTGCACATTCTAGTTGTTGGGAGAAAGCCCGGGTTCTGGGCTCAGGTCCAGATGCAGCAGGGATTCTGTTCTCTGACTGTGGCGACCTTGCTTTGGTTCTTGTTGAAGTGAACCAAGCCCAGCCACCACGCATGGCATGCTGTGCTTGGCTCCCCATAAGACGTCCTCTTTGGGTGCGTGGTGTCAAAGCGTAGGCAGGAGTGGAGAGCTGGTGCCCTCAGGAGGAGACCACAGCATGTTCATCAGCTCATCAGCAGAGCACAACAGCCACAAGTCCTGAGAAGCTTTGACCTTGAGGGGCTTCTAGGAGAAGTGGAATTTCTGCATGGGGCATGAAGGCACACTGTCCCACCACAACTGAACCAGAAGAGAGTGAAGACTCCCCCCTTCCCATCCTCTGTGCCAGGTGTCAGACTGCGCTCCGTGGAGCTTATGGCCCGATCTTACCTGTTCTCTAGGGACTGGTCACTGCCTCAGGAGCCCCAAGCCTATGCCCTGAGCCATGGCTGCTGACTGACTCCAGCCAAGGTGCAAAGATGAAATTATGGGACAGGGCCTCAGGCCTGTGTTCCAAGTACTCACAGGGGCTCTGGGTGCCCATCGCCGGGAGTATGGTTCAGCTACCACCGGCACTGCCCATTTGCCTGTCTCTCAAGCTCAGAGCATGGATGAGCCGCACAGCAGAGCAGTGCACCCTGGCACCATGCACGGCCAGCAAGAATCAAGGCCTGCAGATGCTAAGAGAGCCTATTGTCAGGGGAAGGACCCCACCCCTGCACACGCTCTCTGTGGATACTTGGGTTGTGGGGGCTGTCTTGGAGAGTAAGTTTGTGGTTGGTTTCTGGTTTACAGTGGTGGCTAACACCCCTTGTAAGAAAGCATTCCTGGGAAGTCTTCTGTGGGTCCAAACATGTTGCTCCATCATCACGCGAGAGCAGAAGGCCCTAGATACCCCCTTTGGAATGTGAGAGCCTTGTTGTCTGATACTTGCCACTGAGCTGGTGAAGCCCCTCTAAGGAGATCTCGACCCTGGGGAGCAGAACTCTTGTCATCTATGAGGGGTCCTTCTGAGAAAGACTCATTTTTTTCCTGGAGTTCTTCCCATCGAGGTCCTAGGATTTGCACACCACTGTCCCATAAGAGCTTTCCTGCCTAATGAAAGGAGGTCTTGTGTGTGTCTCCTCTCATCTCTGTAGTTCCCGAGTTGGCCCCCATTGCAGCCCCACCCTGTGGGTAGTCTTCCAGAAGTGATGCAGTGGTGTGAGATGCCCTACACCTTGTTATTTGGGAGACTTTGAGAGTCACTTCCATGGTGACCAGTGTTTGTTTTGCCTGATTTTGTATTCTGTGTTGCATTTCTCCCCACTCCCTGCCCTGCTTTAATAAATGACAAACCAATGTCTAGGAAGAATGACTGAGGGGCAGTATTGGGTATTGGCCCATGGCAGGAGCAGCCACTTGCATCTGGTCCCGGTGCCACACTGCAGTGCTTGGTGTGGTTGTGGAGCCTGTCCCTGCACGCCTTGCTCCTGTTGAGCCATGCTGTTTGGTGGGTGATTCTCTGCCCTGAGCCACCACTCTGGACTGCTCCAGTCTCCAGAGCTGGCACACCCTGCCTGTTTTCTCTTTTTAGACACAACAGCCGCAGTTTGGCCAGCCACTAAGTCCCACCAGCTGAGGTCCGAGGAAAGCGGGGTGACTCATTTCCCTTGTCCAGGGCCCCAGGAGAGTGAGGTGTCCAGCCTGCAAAGCTGTTCCAGCTCCTCGGTGTTGGTTTGCAATAAATCGGTATTTAAGCAGTTCTGGGTCTGCGTGTGACATTTGCTGCTGAGACAGTTCTGTCTGTGCATGGTCATTATTGTTATATTCTGGCCTCGGGGTCCCAGGCCAATGTACACAGCAAACACCAGCGTGGGGAATTCTTAGGGGTTGTTTCCCATCTGGTCTGAGTGCACTGGGCAAGATCTCAACACAGCTTTAGAAATCCTGTAAGATTTTGATTAGTGAGGAGAAAAAGAATGTAGCTATAGATCTTACATCCTTTCAAACAGGTTCTGGAATTCTGTAGTTACCGGAAAGCTTAGGGTGAGTGCAGAGTTGGGAATGATTCCACTGGAGGGCCATCTTTGCCTACCAGGCTCCAAAGCCCTCCTTGATCTCCAGGTGCATACCTGCTGTTACCTTTGCTGAGCCCTCACAACGGGCTTCCTCCAGGACATAACCCCATGTCTGACACACAAGTCTCCCAGGTGGCTGGCCACCTGCTTCTTCCTCAGTCAGATCTTTGACTCTCCTTCTCTGTGCCCCACCCCATTCCATGGGTATCCATCTCCAGCCTCCTCCGACCCTGCTCACCCCTGGGGACAGGACCTAGGGGTGTGAGAATTACTTCTTGGCTGAATGAAGACTGTTTCAAAGGCAACCCTTAGAATTGCCTAGCATACTCCCAGGGCCAGAAATAACCCACCAGAGAGGAGAGGCGTATTTGCCCCTGAAGATTGCAGGAGGGAGAACAGTTGAGAAGTGTTTTGTGTGGAAATGTGTCCAAGAGGCATCAGCTGCTGCACAGAGAACTCACTGCCCAGAACACTGCGCTTGGGGAACAGACCTCACCCCCACCTCAAATCTGCTCCCCACTGGGCCTGTTGGCAGCCAGCTCAGCCGGGGAACGGGCAGTATGACTCGCTTTGTGAATGAAAAGCACGAAGTTGTCAGCACAGAACCTGGCCAGTCCTTGATAAACTCTCTCCTCGGTGGTCAGAGGCCAAGCAGCCCATGTGTCTCAAGGTCCTGAAGAACTGGGCTATGTCCCTGAGGCTCCCTCCACCATCTGACTACTGGGTCTGGGGAACAGGCTTTTAAACCAGGCTGCTGCCCTGGGGAGTGCTCACTGGATGCCAGGGTGCCCCATAGGGACAGGGTCACAAAGCCCTGGGGCTTCCCCTGCCAGTCCTGGTGAGGACAGTGTGGTCACTATCTCAGAGAGAAGAAAAATGAATATTCTGTCTTTTCAGACTAAACTACTCACCCAGCTCACACTAATGTGGATTTGTTAATTTTACCTTTTTTTTTTCTTTCCAACTTTTATTTTAGGTTCAAGGTTTGTTACATGGGTAAATTGGATCATAGAGGTTTGGTGTACAGATAATTTTGTCACCCAGGTAATCAGCATGATACCTGATAATGTAGTTTTTCAGTCCTCACTCTCCTCCCACTGGGTTTTATTTTTTAGTGCTGGAAGTTTAACAGACTGGTCTTACCTCAGAGGGAGGGAAGAAACCCCCTATCACTGGGCTCCGTGGTGTGACAGGGGCCTGGTAGGGGCTTTCGATCCACCATCCATTCCTCCATACCAAATGCCTGAAGTCCCCACTTTGCACATGGAGACAGCGTCGTGCCAGGGAAGAGAGGTTGAGCCCAGCTACCCCTCACAACTTCCTGCTTCCCCCTCAGAGGGTGATGGGGAGACCAGAGCCCATGGCAGGACCAACCGTCACTGAACCCAGCTGGCACAGGTCTACCAGAACACTCTGGGGGTATGCTGGGCTTGCTGGGTAAACCCCTGGCATGCTGGCATTTGCTGTCTTCTCAATGCTGATGGAGATAGGCACACATGGGGTGTGGGAACATGGCCATCCTCAGGCAGGTTCATGAGGGCACTGGCAGGCACTCAGGTGTATGCTGCCTCCTGCTAGGCAGGGCCGAGGCTGTTCTCCCTGGAGAAGGGCGGCTTAGGAAACATTTGCAAGAAAGCTGCCTGGACCTGGGAGGTGACCCTGGCCAGCCTCCCTGCTGCCTCTCTCAGTCCTAGGCCTTCTTCCCCAGAGCTGGTTAGGGCCTCAGGGACTTTGCAGTCTAACCCCTCATTGTGCTACAGTCATAGGAGTAAGTGACACTCCCAAGGCCATGTGGTTGGTGACTCGGGGGGCCCAGGTCCAGGATCCTGCCCCTTTTGCAGGCCTGTGGTTCCTTGTCTCCTACTTGCTTCTTGGAGCAGCCTCCTCTTAAGCCAATAGCTCCTTCACCTGAGCCCGGTCACTTCGCCCTCTTCCCCAGAACCAAAGAGCAAGACCATCTGCCCCAGGTACAGTCCTGGCCATGCCACATTCTCTGTGGCACTATGACCAAGGTGAGTGGCAGATACTGAAATCATCCAGGGCCACTGCAGACCCCATTCCCAGTGGACTGTTCATCAAGGGACCCTGTCTCAGACTACCTCAGCCAACCTTGTTGCCCAGCACAGGTCTGGCACATTGAAGATGATCTGTGTTGGATGGGGAAGGCAGAGGGAGGATCCTCCAGCATTGATCACCCACCAAAACCCTCAACAACCCAGACATTGCCGCTGCACTGACCCCATGCCATGAGGAGGGCACTCAGGCTGTTAGGAGCCTGCTGACTCAGGCATTGGGCTGGGGCCTCCCTGCCTGTCTGCCTGCCAGCGGAGCACTGCCCCAAGCCCCTCTTACTGCAAAGACAGGGTCTTGCCTCCCAGTGTGCACTTTGTTGAAGACACAGGCAGGTACGGGTCTACCAGAGGACAGGGAGTGTTGTTGGGGCACTGTGGGGCTTGGAGGAGGCCCCTCTGGCAGGGAAAGGCAGCCCTTACCTCTGTTGGACTAGGGAGTTTAGGAAGCTGCTCTGGTCCAGAGAACTGGGGATCCAGAGAACTGGGGATCAGGGCCATCTTGTGACCCCAGTGATGGTCCCTAGTGGGACTGCTGAGCTTCAGCCTGAGAGTTCAGGAACTCACCAGTGATTGCTTGTGGGCACTAATGACCCAGTGTGTGGAGACCTCATTTACCAGGTGTGCCTAGCCTGCAGGCAAATCCCAGGGCAGTGACCCTTAGGGAAGAGACAGGGTTTGGGGTCATCAGAGGCCGGGAGACCCAGGTACCTGTCAGGGAATGGGCTGCAGACTGGAGCTCAGCCTTAAGGTGGGGAAGATTCCAGCACCCCTGAGTGACCACCTCTTTCTTGATAATGCAGAGAATGGATTTTGTGACTCCAGGGTGACATTTCTAAGCTTGGCATCATCCAGGGTGGATTTGGGGTCAATATGGGTGACTGTTAGTCCAGGTCTGTCTCAGTGAGGCTGTTCAGGCAGAAAGGCTCACACACCTCGCAGGCAGAGGGTCTAGAGAAGAAGGGGCAACAGGCCTGAGGAGGGGACAGCCAGGCAAGGAGGTAGAATAGGCCTTGTCTGGACAGTGGTCACCTGTTAGGTCCACAGCTTGTCGTCCCTGGCCTGACCAGCCATGTGAGGAGAGATCCAAACCATCCACTTGAAAGCATTCAGGGTGCCTGATGATAAGACCCCAGCCACTGTGGGCTCTCATGTCCTGGTAGGAAGGTATACCTCAAGCAGATGGACCTGGTGGTGGTTGACACTGTCTGCCTTCCCAGGGCTGGTCTGTTCATGCCAGACCGTTTTCTCGTTTGCTCCCACCTCCAGCTCAGAGAGGAATCACCTTCACACCTCTGCTGAAACTAACCCAGCTCTGTACCCATCATTCCCCTCTGTGCAACACCTGCTCCTGGAGAACCCTACCCCCTCAAATACACATCACCCTCAGGGCCCTGCGATGTGCTCTCGTCTCCCCACCACCATTCAGGGGGCCACAGCCAGGTCCAGCCTGTCTTCCCTGGCACCAGGCTGTCTCTGTGCAGTGGGGGAAACTCAGTCACCCCTAAACTATTCTCCAGTGTTCCCAGATCAGCCATGTGATGGCAAGAGTCACTTCTTAAACTTTTGCTATCCCCAGAAACTTAAAGCAACACCGGCCACACTCAAAAGTCAAGTGATACCAAGACAGCAACAGTAAAGCATTAACTGAGCACAGGGCCCTGTTGACTCAACACCCCAGGCTCTCCTGCTGGTAACCCTCCATTGGCAGAACCAGGCACTCTGCAAAGCCCTGGACAGTCAGCAGCCTTCTGAACAGGCTCTTCTGTCCCCACTCACAACTTCAGAGCAGCTAGGACCCTAGTGACCGCCCCCCCCACCCCCAGCTGCTTCATCTCTGTCCCAAGATAACTGCTCTCCAGACCTTTCCATGATACGGTCATTTAAAAAGTTTTTTTTTTGAGACAGAGTTTTCCCTGTGTTGCCCAGACTGGACCCAAACCTCTGGGCTCACGTGATCCTCCTGCTTCAGCCTCCCAAGTAGCTGGGACTGTAAGTGTGCACCACTGTGCCTGGCTTGATGGTGTCATTTTTCACTGTATGCGTATTTGTAAACTGTATAAATCAATATGTTTGTCACTTGCTTTTCTTTCTCCCTTTTCCCTTCATGAGCTGTCTGTGTCCATACACACTCTCCTCCACTCCCCCAGGTGGGGTGTGATATTCCATTAAGTGAATATCACAGTTTATTTAACAACATCCTGTTGGTGAGTGCTTAGGTTGGTCCCAATTTCTCAATATTACAACAATGCAGCAGTCATTCTCAAGTGTGAGAGATTCCCTAGGCATTTCCTGTGAGTGGAGTTGCGGGGTCACAGGGCATCCTCTGGGACGGAAAGGAACTTCCCATGGGAAGGAACATGGAAAGGGGAATGAACCCACCTCCTGTGAGTGGATCTTGTTGCTCAGCTCCTCACCATTTTAATGGACTCTAATGTTTGCAGTCATGCTGAGTGTTAAGTTGGATTGCCCATGCATTTCCCTTGTCATGGTGAGGTTGAACTCCCATTTATATTTTTATTAGGCATCCAGGTTCCTTCTGTGAATTTTGTTTGTATTTTTCACCATTTTACTAAGCTGTTCATCATTTATTCCAGACCTCCCAGCCTGGAGCCTGTCTTTACACTTTAAACTTCCTTTCCACCCTCCCGGTCCCCCAAGGTGGGGGGTGTTCCTGAGGATCACCCCTTACTCTGTGCTCAGGCCACCATGAGTTCCTAGACACAGGCTGCATTTCCCCCACATTTCCCATCTGGATGGGACTGTAGGGCAGGCACATTTCCCAGAGGCAGGGCAGGGCTGTAGGGCATGCATTTGGGATAGAAGCTGCCTCTACTCCCAGGATAGAGCCCAAATTCCCCAGTAAGACTGCCTGTGCCCAAGGCCTGTTCCCTCAGGTTTAGAGAACTGCTCTCCTGGCTGTGGCTGGTGGCAGCACCCAAGCCATCTGTGTTGTTGATGGGCCCGTTCATGACCTGTTGGACGACCAGATGAGTAGTCTATCCTACTGCCCACTTCCTCATCGCAGGGCTTTGGGGGAAGAAAGCACTAAGCAGTTGAGATGGTCTAAATTTCTTGTCTCACATCCAGCTCGTGTGGAGAACAGAAAGTGAGTGCCATGAGCAAGACTGGGCTTGCAGCTCTTGGAGAGAACCCTGGCACTACGGGCCTAGCAGAAAGGACTGATCCCACTAAAAGCACCTCTGGCCCCTCCTGGCTCTCAGCCTGGGTGGTGCCTACCTCTCACAGAGGTCTGGCCACCTGGCGCTCTCCCTGGGGAGCTCTCTGCTGTTGACTGGGAGAATACCCAGGTGGAGATGCGACCCAGCCCTCCACATCCCACCTGCCTTCTCCCCCTTCCCAGGAACCTTCAGGACAGGGTCACCCAAGTCCAGAGCCTGGGAGCCCCTGGCCACTTCCCCAGCCAGCACTGGGATCTCCAGCCTCCACCATGTCTGGGACTAGCCCCTGACAGGGGACCATGGAAGGGATTCCCATCTGAACAACGAAACCGCGGAGCAGAGAATCCACATTTCTCAGATCCATCAGAGAATTGCCGTCATACAGCACATGCTGCCCCCAAACCAGAGAGACAGGCAGGTGGACACTGAGAACCACAGCTCACTGGAGCAGAGGCTGCTGCTGGAGCCCCATGGGAAGGAACGTGGAAAGGGGAATGAACTGGGGATAGAGGGAAACTCATTTTCATCCAGCTCAGTGGAATCCTCTACTGAAGTCCTGAGAAGCACACACTCAACTGTGAGGAAGACAGCTGCTGGGGGTCAGCTAGGCCCATCTCTTCTCCGAGAACTGACCCCCTCACAGGGATTGCCCTGGCTCTTGCCCCAAGGA